GATTTCCATCAGCATGTGTTTGTGACAGACTAGATACACCGACGACAATGGACCAGGCTCAATACGACGCGATCAAGGACAATTGGGGGGAGGTTGAGGACAGAGATGGCGTCAGACTCAGTTGGAATGTCATTCCATCGACGCGCATGGTACTAAAAGAGTCTCCGCGCCGGATTTGAATTCATACTAACAGCTATTTATCAGGAAGCAAACCGACTGGTGGTCCCCGTGAGCTGTTTGCTCACTCCGCTCAAAGTGAGTACCCTGAACTCAAGGAATCTTTTCATTGTGCTGACGATTTGATAGGAATTGGGCAAACCACTACTTCCGTATGAGCCAGTTACCTGCAAGGCGCCATGTCGGGCGGTCCTCAACCCCTTCGCTAACGTCGATGTTCGGGCTAAACTGTGGATCTGTCCCTTCTGTCTGCAACGCAATCCTCTACCTCGTCACTATGGAGATATAAGTGCCGAGAACATCCCACCAGAGATGCACCCCGCGAACACCACTGTCGAATACAAACTTGCCCGACCTGCTCCTGCTCCACCCATTTTCGTCTACGTCGTGGATACTGCGATTGAGGAGGATGGCTTGCAAGCATTGAAGGAAACTCTGGTCATGAGCTTGTCATTACTCCCTGCGAATGCGCTTGTAGGACTGGTCACATTCGGAACCAATGTTGCCGTTCATGAGATTGGCTATACCGAGTGTCAGAAGTCATACGTCTTTAGGGGCAGCAAGGACTATGCCGCAAAGCAGGTTCAGGAAATGCTGGGCTTAGCTGCACCCGGCCTGAGACCTAATATGCCACCGGTTCAAGGACGTCCACCTCCGCCTATGGGCCCGGCAGCCCGATTCCTCCTTCCAGTTCAGCAAGCTGAGTTCCAGATCACCAATGCCATTGAGCAGCTACAAAAAGACCCCTGGCCTGTCGCGAACGACCGCCGGCCACTTCGCGCTACCGGAGTCGCGATGAGCATTGCGGTCGGCTTGTTGGAGACGTCGTTCCAAAATGCCGGAGCCAGAATCATGCTCTTCGCTGGTGGTCCGGCCACTGAAGGGCCAGGTATGGTCGTTGCCCCAGAACTGCGTGAGCCAATTCGATCACATCACGATATCGACCGTGATAACGTCAAATACTTCAAGAAGGCAATCAAATTCTACGACGGTCTTGCAAAACGCACCGCCCATAACGGACACATCATTGATCTATACGTTGGATGTCTCGACCAAGTGGGCCTGCTTGAAATGAAAGGATTGGCGAACTCGACTGGAGGTCATATGGTCCTGACGGACAGTTTCACCTCATCACAGTTCAAACAGTCCTTTGTTCGAGTCTTTGACAAAGATGAAAGCGACAACCTCTTGATGGGATTCAATGCATCTCTTGAAGTGGTTACCACGAAAGAGCTAAAGGTAACCGGCCTCATTGGCCACGCGGTGTCCCAGAATAAGAAGTCTAGCTCTGTCGGCGAGACAGAATGTGGTATCGGAAACACTTGCCTCTGGAAAATGTGCGGCATTGATCCCACATCCAGCTACGGCATCTACTTTGAGGTTGCCAACCAAGGTGGTCCAGCACCTATGCAGCAAGGCCCGCAACGGGGCATGATGCAGTTTTTGACGTATTACCAGCATTCTTCTGGGCAGTATCACCTACGCGTGACCACTGTCGCCCGCAATTTGAGCGGACCAACTGGCGACCAAGCACTGGCACAGTCTTTCGACCAGGAAGCCGCTGCCGTGCTTATGGCAAGGATTGCGGTCTTTAAAGCAGAGGTTGACGATGGGCCAGATGTCCTCAGATGGGTGGACCGGATGCTCATCAGGCTCTGCTCACGGTTTGCAGACTATCGCAAAGATGACCCGACGTCCTTCCGACTGGACAAGAACTTTACCCTCTATCCTCAATTCATGTTCCACCTGCGCAGATCACAATTCCTCCAGGTGTTTAACAACTCGCCCGACGAGACGGCATTTTATCGACACGTGCTCAACCATGAGTATGTGGGAGATTCACTGATCATGATTCAACCCACCTTGGACTCTTATGGTCTGGACCATGAAGGTGGCCAGCCGGTCTTGCTCGACTCCGCCTCCATCCAGCCACAGACCATCCTTCTCCTCGATACTTTCTTCCAGATTCTCATCTTCCATGGCGAAACTATGGCTGAGTGGCGTAAAGCCGGCTATCAAGACCAAGAAGGCTATGAGAACTTCCGGGCAGTTCTCGATGCACCAAAGGAAGACGCACGAGAACTCGTACAGGACCGGTTTCCTCTGCCGCGATTTATTATCTGCGATGCTGGAGGTTCACAAGCCCGTTTCCTCTTGTCGAAACTGAATCCTTCAACCACCCACGCGACTGGTGGTTACGGCGGAGTTTCGCAGTCTGCCCAGACGATTTTCACTGATGATGTGTCATTGCAGACATTCATGGACCATCTGATGAAGTAAGTTTCCCCTCATTATAGCCTTGGGCATTCGCTAATCCGGTCCAGACTGGCGGTATCTGGGTCTACCTAGAGGCATGAGCTAGGAGCGACAATAATGACTCTGGATGGACACGTGGGTCTCTATCTTTGCGACATTACCCACGCATCTCGGACGTTTCTGCAGGAACATGTCCATTGGGGGTGGCCGCAGCTCTTTTTACAAGCGACTGAGTTGAGGGGGCAGATACTGATAGAAAATTGGCATGACATGAAATGAGTTTGCACAAATGAAATGTAATAGATGTGCCGCTGTACGAGGTACACGATCCCTCGTGCTTTGTACCTGCCAAGAGTTACTTCCCAAGCCATATCGACCATTCCGTATTAGGAATAATCTCACCCACAAGTTTAAGTCTTGGCATCCGCGGAAAAAAGTTGCTAGTCAAGTTCAATTTCACGAACTGCTTCTCCCTGAGATTTCTATCCTCCAGCTCACAACCATCACCTCGAGAGACTGACTACCTTTCGCACTCGCCATGCGTAAGTATCGTCTTCTTGAGCAGCATCAGCTCGGCGGCTAACATGTGTTCACTCCTTCAGCTCCCAAGTTAGATCCCAATGAGGTGAAGATCATGTATGATTACCCTTTGAATCTCCAATCTGCAAGAGACTGACATGGATTTCTGACAGCCACCTTCGCGCCACTGGCGGTGAGGTCGGATCTTCTGCCACGCTCGCTCCCAAGATCGGTCCCCTCGGTCTTTCGCCCAAGAAGGTCGGAGAAGACATTGCAAAGGCAACTGGTGACTGGGTACGTGTTTCCATAACAAGCTATATCTGCGTCCGCACGAATCAGCTAACATTTTCGTGTGCCTATAGAAAGGTCTCCGTGTCACCGTCAAGCTGACCATCCAAAACCGACAAGCTGCCGTCAGCGTCGTCCCCTCAGCGTCATCACTCGTCATCAGAGCTCTGAAAGAGCCCCCGCGAGACCGCAAGAAGGAGAAGAACATCAAACACTCCAAGTCGATCCCTCTTGAAGAGGTCTTCGATATTGCCCGGACCATGCGTGGTGCGAATAAGTCGCTCGCTCGCGAATTGAAGGGCACAATTTTGGAAATTCTCGGCACTTGCTTCAGTGTGGGTTGCCAGGTCGACGGGAGAAGTCCCAAGGACATCAGTGATGAGATCAAGGAAGGGTCGATCGAGGGTCAGTTCTTACATTTGGACTGCCAACACTTCCGTGTCTCCTGTTACTAACTCGTGTGCGACAGTGCCCGATGAGTAGACTCAAGACGCAATGCCTGTGGAAGAAACCACGAGTCTCGCCCGGTTCGAGGTAGCGTGGTACAGCAGGACAATGATGTGTCCATGAGCGATGCCTGGGAACCATGTCATGTCTCCAAAAACAGTAATGAGGATCAACGAAAAAAAGATTTGAAAATCGAGGCATCATCAGCCAGCCCACTCCACTCCCATTTCTTTTTCCCTTTCCTCTTCCTCCTCTCCCTTTTCCACCGTGATCATGATCATGACCATGGCCTTTTTTACTCCCAAAACATCCCCTTCCCTCTCTCTTCCCTCTCTTCCCCCCCTCTTACCCCAAAGAAGAACCACAAACTTCGCAAAAAAAACCACCCCACCTTTGCCAACACTCTGGCCTTTATCCCTTTCCATTCACGGAGAGCCATCACCAGGATAATGTCTGCCTATTTTGATGCAAAGAAGATCAAACCGACACCTTACTCACCACGGCATCTACTCTTTATTTTTTCCTCCATGGATGCAGTGGTCCATATCCTTTTTGTGTCTACAATTCCCCCCTCATCTCTCTCACCCCTTGACAAACTTGTACGGAATTGATTGAATGAATGAAGGAATAAATAAATAATAAAATTAGTAGTTTTTTTTTTGTTTTTTTTTTCTGGGGTTGGAGAAGGGTGACCACGGTGTCCCCTGCTTCTATTTTTATGGGAGGGTTTTAAAATTGAATTGTAAAATGAAATCAATGTCGTGAGCCTCTTGTGTCTGTGTGTCTGATCTGTCTGTCCATGTCCAAGCTGTACATGACGTCCGTCCCCCGGTCGCATGGCTATATTTTGGGAACACGGTTGCCCTCTCCCTGAAGTCAATGCCATCACGAGCACGCGCTCGAACCAAAGAACATGAGACCTCAGACATGAGACATGAGACATGAGACATTTACTGCTGCACGAGGTTCTGTGTCCAAAAAGGGGATGTTTGCAAAGGACAGGGGGGGAAGAAAGGATGTGCTTCAGGCCACGTGCCACGTGACGCGGCTGAAAGGCTCAGGGGGGGGAGGGTTTAGCCCAGATCCGAGAATGAAAAGTTCCAACAAAGCCCATGTTTTATGGAGCTACCAAGTACAATACACATACACACATACATACATTTCCGAACTAGGGTTTGTAATTGGACAATATCTACCAAACAGAGCTCGACGACAGGCCGTGCTCCTGGCATGTCTCAGCAAAAACAGGGTCATATATACAATCACAAAAACCAAACATTTGGAGCTGTTCTGAGGACGCCGTATCCCCCTGTTCAAGCGGTAGACCCGCCAAAACGCGAAACCACCGAGTTCACATGCTCCATGCTCTGTTTCATACTGCGCACCGCGGTCTCGAGTCGTCGGCGGAACTCGGGATGGCGCTCGCTCTCCAGGGCCACGTTCTCGTCCTTCACGGTATCAAAGTCGCGCTGGATTACGGCGAGGTGCGTGGCGACGGCTGCTCGCATGTCGGCCTCCAGACTGTGCGCGAGGTCGTGGAATTTGGAGCGGAATTTCCGGCAGTGATTTGCAAAGAGCTGGTCGTCACTGAATCCGTCTCGGATGATGGTCTTGCGCCTCATGTCGCTTCCACGACCTATCGTGGGTTAGTCATCCCGTATCTGTAACCCTCGATCGCCAAGTATAGCTGCCACTGAAGGCTTTTGAGGCCCGTGGTCCTGAATCAAACGAACTCACCTTTTTCAAGCATGGTCCTCTGGTAGGACGGTTCCATGATCTGACCAATGAACGAGGTGCGAATTCCAGAGAATGCAGCCGTTCGGAGCGTACTATATTGTGGAATTAGCCTGTGGTCCATCGAGGAAGAGGAGCTGAAAATCTCTCACGATAAATCGCGCTGGAAGTCCTCTACTAGTCCCTCCATGGCGGAGAGGAGAAGGGCCTTTCTGTGCGTCATGGTCACGTTCAAGGTCTGCAGCGAGCGTGTCGGGACATTCGTTGAACCACCTGATCAGCCAAGAATCATCAGCACTTGGTCAGATGAATACAGTTTCCTGGATGCGGCATGTCGTACATAGGATTATAGCCTCATCGAAGCAATCCTCAGTCCTGTTCAGCAGATTCTCCTGCGAGTCCTTCAGGGCCTGTTTAAAGGTTCGCCAAGGGGTAGCCATCTGGGTGACCATGGTTTGTATAGCTTCCTGATTCCAACAGCGCCGAATCTCTGTCGAACTTGTGCTGTAATCGCCATAGTTTCGACAAAAAGCGGCGTAGGTACCTGCCAGAGTATCAAAGGTCTGCACCAACATCGCCTGGAGAGAGAATGGGGGAAAAATGGGTGTTCCTAACTGTGATGCCACTGCCAATGCTTGCATTAGTCGAATCCAAAAGCATCGTTTGGAGATTTGAACCACTTACACCTTGCCATTCCATGGTCGCATTTTCTGCGGCTTCACTCCAGTCGTCGGAATTTTGATCTGCCAAAGCATTAGTTCAACGGCAAGGTTCATCACTGGACTTGACAGACTTATGACACGAACTATATGTGCGTTGAATTGCCTCTCCATGGACGACGCGCTGGCATTGACAGGGGATGCCGACAGGTTTAGCTTTTGGTAAATATTCGAATCAGACCAACCCAGAGGCATTGAAAGTCCCTCTCACAGAAATCTCACCGTGTCTAATTTGCTTTCGATCCCTCGGATAGTGTCTCGAACAGCTTGTTTCCTTTCAGCTCCTAGACTTCCCGCGCCAGATTGCACCCAGAGCTCGACAGATCCCAGTAGTGCAGGGATGGCATTGGTCATGTACTCAGCGGCTGCCCGAAGCTGGCTCTGGGCGACAATGGAGAGGCAATACTTTCGGACTTCCAAGATCCCAGAGAGGAGCAGGGAGGGCATGGCTTCCCCTTTTGGTTTCATTCGACACGCCCAGTACAGGAAATTGCTGACGCAGAAAACTGGTAAGTCATCCCCAGGGATCTGGCTCTGGTATATTTTCCGTAGTTCTGTGGTGACTTTCTCGTTGCGAGTAGTGACAATGAAAGTCTTCAATCTGGAGGATTCGTGTCATTAATCTGCAAGGACCCGAGGGTAGAACTAGCTACTCACTCAAACTTGGCTTCGTCGATCTGCTTCCTACAAAAGGAACCCGTCAGCATCACGACCATGTACTCCAAGAACAAAAAGACTCACTGTAACCTTCTCGAGACCCTGTGAAGTCTGACAAGCCTTTGACTCTCTTCTCCGTCGATTTCACCTTCGGTGTCACTATCGAAGGCTCTTATCTGGTTAATTTGGTCTTCGTTGGCATCCAAGAGTGCCTTCAATTTTTTGATGTCCCTATCCAACGCCGCGATGGTCGTGCTGACATCTCGGCCGTGGTCATTCTTGACTTCTTCTGCTCGGACATCCTGTGAAGGGCATTAGAAAGACAACCTTGCATATCTTGCGAGGTCTATGGGATCAAGGGGTTATCTTGGTTGTCCAGTCCTTACTTCTGATTTGGTACAAATGATCGCAATCCTCGACAGGGAAGCCCTTTTTGCAAGCTCGAAAACCCCCTTCACACCAGTGTCATCGATGGCTCGAGCGATGGGACAGACGGCAAAAATCTCATTGCACTGAAGCAGGTATCTCTCCGTTATCTTGACCCGGGCCGAGTTGCGGTCCCGAAGGCCTGACAATATTAGAAAACGATGAGTCGACTGAAGAATGCCTACTCACCCGGAAGATCAACGAGAACCAGACCCTTGCTTAAAATATATGCATTGAGGTAAACTCTGTCATAATCAGCCAGGTACAACAGGCACAAAGACAGGGTTTGGTTGCGTGCACGAACTTGATCTTTCGAATGAATGGCCAGGTCGAAGGTTGGTTCGGAGAATTTGGCTCAGAGGTAAGTTCAATCAAGCGGTCTGAACATTGGCCTGCTTCATTGAAGACCTCTCTCTGGGGGCTTGCGCCTGGCCTCTCCCCTAGGGGTAAACCGGAGTTCCTGGTCCAAGTGAGTAATTTCTGGAGCACAGTCTCCTCGGTCCCCTCCTTAAGGAGTTGTACATTGTCCACCAGGTGATCTCGAAAGGCTGCTTGAAATGTATGTTCAGCAACCTCCGCTTTCTCCTTGAGATCTTTCGACTGCTCGTCCTGGGCGTCTTCACCAGTACGGAGGTGAAAGTGTCGGTATGACTGCAAAAGTTCGGTAAGTTGACTGGAGATCTCATCGAGAGTGAAATATTCCATCTCTATAGCGAAGTAATCATGTTCATGGTGATGGTACTCAGTTGCGACGCAAGTACACGCCCGCCCACTACCACTCTTTGTCGACACTAGACTTAGCAATAGTTTGGTTATGGACAGGAAAATTCGCTACTAACCGATCGAGCAAACCCTTCAAAGTCCAGAAGTGAATTCAGGACGCTGCTTTTGCCTGTGCACGATCAGCGACAACCCGTCAAGGGGCGATTTCGAGTCGACTTACCAGCCCCGGCGTCTCCTACCAAGCCCACAATACGAGTTGAGGGCTTTTGGAATCGGCTCAAATCGACGGCTTGCAGGTGAAGGGCGTTGATGCGAGACTGAGCTTCATCGTGCAGTGTTGAGCTGGCAAGGATGTTGACCAGATCCTTCACGAGGTTCTCTGCTTTGGCAAGCTCTCGTTGGAACTCTGGCTGGTGGAACGGCTCTGCTGGAGGTTCTTCCTCCGCAACATTGTGAGGGGCGGGATCAACAAAAGAGCTCGACCGACGGCGAGAAGCAGATCTTGGACTGCGACTAGCATCGTCAATGTGTAGACTGGGGCTTGGGGACCGCGGATTAAGATAAGTCTCCAGGGTAGGGGTGCCGGCCCGACTACCCTCTGTGCCCAACCTGATATTGTTCAGGGTGTGGGTGACATCGTCCACAGAACTTCGACCAGCAGCGGAGGTCGTTGGAGAAGGTTGGTAATGGCGCTCCCGAAGGGCATCAGATCTGCTATGTGATGTCGGATGATCCCCCGGCTCTCCAGAAAGCTCTAAGTCTCTGATAAGCTCATTGAGGCCGGACACTGTGGAGGATGGTGTCGGACTTGTCCCACGGCTCGCAGAAACCGAAGGGACTGGAGTAGTAATTCCCTCTGGAGCAGGAGGTGTGATAGAAAAGGAAGGAGTTCTGGGGCGCACAGATAAGTTGCTGCGAGGAAGGAGGTTCGAGGCGCAAACAGGCTCTCTCTCGATCGAAGGGATTGGTACATCCGGGTCGAAATTTGGAGTCTCGTGAGGGTCGATGACCTCGGAGGGACTTCTAGTGGAAGCAGGCGTAAATTGTGTTGGATTGCTTCGCTCACTGTCACCATGTGGAAGTTGAACCTGAATGGCAACGAGCGCAGATGAATCGGCGACAGGGTAGGTGACCTAGAGCCGGACATTTAGTGTCAGCTTTCTCCTTCCGCAGTGTCTCTGAGATATAGTTGAACTCACTGGTCGTTTCACCATGGCTGCCGAGTTCTCGTGGTTGAGTGGTTGTCCGGTATATGTCGAAGGCGGAGAGTTCTGTCGAGATTGACCTTAAATCGCTGAGGAAGAAGACACGGGCAGATATGATGGAGGGGCCTTTTGGACAATTAACCACACCCATGCCGTGCTCTGTGACCAAATCCTCCAACCACCCCTCGACCAGGAGCTAGAGGATGCCATTCCAGAAAGTCGACGCTAACGTCGGAGACGTGCAGGCTTCCACACGTTCCCTGCTGGAGAAGTGACAGACCACCAGGTGTATGTTTCGGCCGTCGGGGCGAGGCTGACAGATGGGGCCCCCATTGTGCCATAGCCCGAGCATTCGTTTTCCAGAGCCACGGTCTGGAGAGAAGGTAACAAGCCTGTGAGATTTTGTCAATTCAAGGGACAGTATGAAACAGGATGAGATACCTAGTTCACTTAGGCTGCAAGACATAGGGGTGGTTGCATTCACAGCCCTGTAAGGGAGGTAGTAATGGGTACATGCGAGTATGCAGGTTGCTACTTGGCGCCCCATCTCGATAAGCGCCCACCGGCAGAAATGGTAAGCGCTTGCGGATGTAGGTGACACACAGTGTACCAACGAGCATTCATCCGGCGGGGTAGGGAGAGGCACCCCAGAACGCGCCGGGGTTCCAGAGATTGTGTCGACCATGTAACCGAGTAGGTACTTGTGGCAGCCCAAGGGCGATGCATGCGCCATCGAGGTCGCGGATTTCTATTTCAGCCACCATATACTAGGGTACTCACACTGAAACAGGGCCTATCACAAGAAGCGGTTTCCACTCGAGGCGTACTCGTCAAGTCTATGAGGCAGTTGTATGCGCCCAGAGACGGCTTTCTTGTCCTTGCATTCCGTACAAATAGGAGGCTGGTGTCTGTACACTTGAAGTAGGTGGGGAAAGGGGAGCGATGCGCTGCCGATAGCCGACGATATGTCCACCATCGCTTCACACATTTTGACAACTGGTAGGGTGTCGCGACATGTCCACACTACCACACCAACCCAGAAGCGAAGTGCGCAATATAGCCAGGCTGTAAGTAAGTCAAGTTTGATTAGAATGACATACGAGGCTTCTGGGTTCTCCCGACTGGACGCCGTTGACGTTAGAGTTGGACGATGGCGCAATCACGCAGATGAGCTCGAAGAAAGCCATCTCGCGACCACGGATGCGGCAGGGACGGAGCTGCCCCGGTCATGGTGAAGGCTTGCATTTCAGCTAAAGGTGCTTGATCGTGGAGTGGGAGGTCATTCCTTCAGCAGTCACTGGCAAGTGTTGGTCAGTGTAAAGTTGTCGGGGGGAATTGGGTCGAGGTCGCTTCCGGATTGATTAAGGAAATGTGGATACCTGTCTAGGCTTAGTGGTGACCCGCCAAGGCTTGGCTAGAATCACCTCTTTTCGACGAGAGAAAGAATGACTCGGGAAGGTGTACTGGACCCCATGAAACACAGCAAGTGCAAAGGACAGCGGTTCAAATTATGCAGCACGGACATCTACAGGTGTCGACACCTATTTACATGGACACTGGTCTCCTCCTCATAGAACCTGAATCCACAGTCTTCTCCGTTTCCATAGTCCTTATATACTCTTACAAGCCGAAGAGTGACCGAGAGACAGTTCACGCTCAAGGTCCAACGAGTCGTCTATCTCCATACTTTTGACACCTCATAGACAGATAGACCGACAAACGAAAAAAAACTTGGAGGTGATCCACGGGCTGTTCTGCGTGAGGGAGGAGAGATCCTCGCCACCTCACCTCACCGCACAACCAGGCGACAATAGCCTCTTGGTTGGAAGCGCAGGGTGGGAGGTTCGGGGTGGGAAGGAGGACAATTCCCACAGATCGAACTAGCAAATGTCACGCCACGAGAAGAGGTAGAAGAAGCCAGGAGATCCACGGTACAAGTCAACAGTAACGACGACGGCAAGGGTAATGACAGTGGCAGTGACAGTGGCAATGTCAAAAAACCTCGCGTCGGCGCCAGAGGTCAACACAAGGTCACATAAAAGCGGGTGTTCAACATGTAAGTATCGATGTACCTCGTATTGAATGTACTCATGCATCCGTCACTCTGTCTGTCTTGCGGCAGATTCAGGAACAGGTGGAATAGAATCGAGGCCGTTGAGAGATATTCAGGCAAAGAGACGAGGGAGGATGGACCGAAGAAAGGATTGAACAGTCCTTCAACGACCTAGGGAAAATATTATCCATTTCGATCTGTGGTATTCGTCAAGTCGATCATCTCAAAGACGTCGCAAATGCTTTCTCCCGTCATCTCTGGAGCATACATTGATACGAAGCACATCAGCTCCATGGCCTCGGTAGAGCATGAATTGATCCACCAACTTGGCTATGGAGCGCTTTTTCCAACTTTCCCTTCCTACCAGGACAGTGCGTGACATTGAGCTTGATCAAGACATTGATTGGCCACCTGACCTCCTAGACTATTGTCAAGAGGTGGCAATTACCAAGTGGTTGACACTTTGGGGAATTCCTTCGACGTGATACCGAGATCCGTAAAGACAGCATCATCGCCTGTGACCATCAGCTACGTCACACATGAGACATTCGGTTACACTCACCTTTCAAATGTTTAATCCGGATCTCATCCTCACCCTCCAGTTTCTCCATTTCCTCTTCAGGCGCAGCATTGTTCTCGCGTTCATCCTTGGGGCGTTGTTCGGTAGCCTTTTCATAATCCTCTCCAATCATCAGAAATTGTGCATTGTCATAGTCCAAGTACTTTGGCTCTAAGGGCTTCCACCGAAGACCTCGGAACTCGTCGATGATCTCCTGGGGGTACTTAGGTCCCTGCGGCACATTCTGGTTGCCTAGAGGAGGTTGCTCAGGGTTCTTGATGCTGGTCACGAAACTTCCACGCTGTTTGAGGCCAAAATCCTTCTGCATTTCACCAATCTCGGCAGGGATATTGACGATGTAGGCCAGATGCGACTCGCGCCCCGTAGAAGTGATTGCATAGACACCCTCGGCAAGTGGAGTGACTGGGGGTATGTGCCTCGTGCCAGCAGTCTTGGTCTCGTACTCTGAGCCGGCCATGAAGGACTCTTTGAGCTCCGCAAAACTAGTCTTGCACTTCTCGACAAAGGTAACGAATCGGTCCTTGCCACTTTTGGGAAGTACCTTCTTAGGGACAGCCAGAAGACGACAGTTTCCTTCGTCGCCGATGGGGCCATCCCCGAGTTTCGCGTCCAGAGGAATGGGTCGCATGACCATGTAAGAACGCGCAACATCTTTAATGTCCTCAGCATGATCGACATTGACCCGGGCGCGGAAGAAAAAGTAGATGATGCCCTTTTCAAGGATGCTGGAGGGCACATCGTCTTCGCGCGCGCCGGGCTCAACAGCGTCGCCGTTTGTCTCGGCGGGTTTGGCTTCCTCCTTGGGCTCTGCCTCTTTGGGCTCTGAGACTTCGGGTTTGGCATCTTCAGCCTCAGTGTGCTTCTCCTGCTCAGTGCTTTCCTCCTCTTTGGGTTGCTCATCCTGCGCTTTCGCCTCAGCGGCTTCACCATTAGGCTCCTCAGCCTTTGGTTCTTTGGGCTTTTCTGGCTCTGGCTCTGGCTCGGCCATTTCTTGATCAGCCTTGTCAGGGGCAGGTTCCTCGTGGGCTCCACTAGGTAGAATATGTCAGCTGGGATGCAATGGGCGAAATGGAGAGGGCGCAAGTACTTCTGTTGCAGGGACTCCTCCAACGTCTTCTGCTCTAGCTGCGCGTCCTTCTTGCCTCGCTTCGCGCTTGGTGAAGAGCCCGAAGTCTCATTCTTACGCTTTTTGCCAGCCGGCGATGGCTTTGGGTGCGCCGGGGAAGAATTTTGCGAGCTCTGGGAGCTCTGGGTTTGCGCAGCGATGCGAGCGGAAGAGCGTCTACCGGTCATTGTGGGGCTCGGATGCGATATCAGAATGATGGGAAAGGTATTGTGGAAGACTACGGGGGGATGAACAAGGAGACTAGGATGGTGGTTTGATGGGAAGGGGATGGTGGGCAGGATGAACAACAGAGATCAAAGAGCCATTGGAGTCGGGTCCGCGGCAACAAGCTCGTTCTTGTCATGGTGCTGGGAGAAGAAGTGCAGCTAAAGTTAGTCCACCCTGTGAGGCTACCAGGCCCAGAGGCACAATGATGTAAGATCGGAACGAGAGCCGTGGCGGTGGTGGAAGCTTCTATCACAACCTGCAGCGCGGGAGGGCACAAGACGTGGTGGTGAGACAAAGATCGGAGAAAGTCTTTGGTTCGGCTGGTGGAGAGCGGCGGAGGGACTGGAGAGAGAGGGACGCGAGAGGGGGAAAGAACCGAATAAGAGAAAGAGGCATGCTAGTTGCTCCTCCACTAGTCAGGAACCGCCCATCAACCCCGCCAAATGGCTCGCCAATTGTCCCAATCTGGGTGTCTAGATGCCAAAACTACCCTAATGCCTATCGCCTATCGCCGAACGCAAAGTATTAACCCACAGTCCCAGTACATCAACTCAGTCCACCTGCGCACTACGAGGAGATCTGTCCCAAGGTGCATTCCACAATGTATATCCTCCATCACCACCGTCCTTTTTCATCCAAGGTCCATGGCGTCAAGGTCTTCATGCTCAGCCCCGCCGTTCTTCAGCGGTGTTGATGGCGTGTGTGTTCCCTCGGGCGTCCCCGTCAACGAATCGACCATGGCCTCCTCGGATCGATCGGAGCTATCAGACCAGGCCTCTGCAACCTGCTTCTTCGCAGCCTGCCGTCCCAGCGGTGGCTTGCTGTTCCTGTTCTTCCTTTTCTTCTGTGGAGGTTGTCCAGCGTGTCCGTCTACAAGCTCCGACACCTCGATCTCTGTGTGTTTAGGCGGGACATCGGCGTCATCATCGTCCATTTCCCTCGACATGCGTTTCCGTCCTCGTTCCCCATCATCGTCTCGTCTCGGGTGGCGTGAGGAATGAGGATCACAGGACAGCCTCCGTAGTTTGCTGGCCAGCTCATCA